TAGGAAATGGTAATAGCTCAGGGCAGAATGGAAGATACCACAACTGTTTAGCAAACGTTTCGTTAAAGGAACGGCATCACTAGTCTCTTTGACGCATTGTAGTGTGGTGCTAAGAATGGCGAGACTCACTGACGATGCCGGTAAACGTCTGGGAATGTACCACGTCCACGGTTCGACTTTGGAAATGATCATGCATACAATGGTCTCCGGATTAGGTTCGTTGCTCTAAATCTTTCTACCGATATGACCAAGTTGAGAAAAGAAGGGCAAACAACCTCTATAAATAGTTTCTACTCACATATAACGTATTTACTATTCTATTAATTTCCATAGCCTCTCTTATCTTTATTTTAACCGCAGACGTACGATAATCAGCAAACCTACTAGTTTAAGGCTATTCTATTTCTTATCCAGTTTCTACTATGTGTTCGGCCACTTCTGACCGTTAGACCCAGCTTCCTTTACAAGCCTTTTTGTGTTCCCCCAATCTTTTCGAATGCGTCGGCATATCTTGATAGATTGAAGGTAGGATAGGTTGTCGAGCCGCCATCCAAAAGAAGCCGACTTAATTTGTCTGCTTAGTGATGGTTCCAGCTTCACTCACACTCGCCCAAAATGTTAGATTAGGCTCATCAACCAAACCAGCCGTGCCGGATTACGCAACCCTTTCCTTCAGTGGTTAAATATTTATGCCCTTATATCGAGAGGTTGGACTTGGCAACTTGACTTACATGTTTACAAGCTTACATCTCATTATCTCAATAATACTAGCTCGAGGACTTACGCAGTCTCAGTTTGTGCTTTCTGTTGGTTCATTAAGCCTTGACGATCAGAGTCTGACATTAGCCTTTTGATCACTCTGATTTCGGATCGGTATTGCGTATAGACTATAACATATACAAATAAATGTACACACGCGAGCCATAATAGCAGGACCAGTATGAAAGATAATTAGCCAAACCACTCTATATCTATCTACGTTTTTAATTTTATTTTGCTAATTGAGTCTACATAAGAAGTAAGATAGAGCTGAATAGTCTTGTTGCTCTTGTGCTAACGTGCTGAGAATAGCAAGACTCACTGACGATGATGACTACGATGCCGATGAAGCGTCTGAACCTGTACCAAATCCTCTGCACAACTGTGGGAATAATCATAACTACTTGGGACCTTGGACAAGATGCATTCTACTACGTCCCCCTGACAAAACAACCAGGTTGCGAAAACGAGGTCAGGCTGCCTCCATAAATCGAAAAGACTAAAATAAAGCCACATCTACTTTTAAACGACAAAGTTTGTCTGGCATAAATTGAATATTTGCCCTTTCCTATACTCGTATACCACTTTTTGTTTCATTTTCTGTCGATAAGCAGACTACTACGAGTAGAATATAATATATTTTAAAATATTACAATTATTTCGGCTATGCTGCCATTTCAATGCCGCTAACCTGTACGACTACCTGTTATCTTTCGCCTTGGTTCGACTTCTGCTTTATGCTTTATGCTTTTTAATTTGTTAAGCTGAAGCAGCCTGCCATGCCAGCATGCAGGGAGAAATGTGGGCGGCATCTGATGGACCTTCTGCTGAGACTGATCCGGCCTCTTCACCATCATCAACCCCCTGGCTTGAGCCAGGCGACCGAGTTGTTGAGGCCGTCGAACTTGAACCAGATACTATGGTCCGTCTAGTGCGTTGGTCCTGTAACCGCCTCATTGATAGGTCTGCTTTGGAAGAGAAAAATGCTAGGTTAGCAGAAAGAATCCATCCACAGGATTTGATCTCTGAACTCATGGTTGATGACTTTGAAGGTGACAAAATAAATGGCCTTGAAGATGAAGATCATGACGACCATCTAGATGATGACGATGACGATGATGATGATGATGAGGCAACAGATATTTTGGTATTCCATGCAAATAATAACAGCTTTGTTCACCGCGAGAAAAGGGCCGATAAGCTACTACTCTCACAGGAGGTTAAATTTTTAATAATTTTATTAGCCATCCTAATTTAAG